ATAGATAGATAGATAACATTGGTTTGAATGCAAAATTCATATATATGATGCTTCATTCATATACACTGTTTCACACATTACTTCACATCATATTTCATATAATCATTCCCATATTTTGTGTTTTATAAAACCAATCACCATTGATCTATGCCCACTATCACCCTGTCTTTTCAGGTCCCACTGGATCTTCCCTAATTTCTCTCCTCCCAAAATCTGTGACCACATGATTTCCCCCTTTTCTTTCCCCTTTGGGCTTTTATACACATCATATTGGTTATCCTTCTATTATTTTAAATTTTTTTTATTGGTTTGCTCACACAGCTTGTACCCATTGTGTTTCACACTATTCCTCATTCATATTGTGTTTCATACAATCACTTTCATGCATTGTGTTTTATAAAATTAGTTACCATTGGACCTTGCCCATCATTACCCTGTCTTTTCACCTAGATCCTTATCATTTGCTTTCCCCCTTCCCTCCACCCACCAAACTGTACAACCCTGAAGAGGATGTGGAGAGGTGGGAACTCTCATACACTGTTGGTGGGATTGTAAAATGGTACAACCACTCTGGAAGACAGTTTGGCATTTCCTTAAAAAGTTGAACATAGAAACTCCATATGACCCAGCTATTCCACTACTAGAAATAAACCCTAAGGAAGTTAGATCTGAGATACAAATGGAGATTTGTATGCCAGCATGATTTATCATCACCAAGAACATAGAAACAGCATGAATGTCCAACCAAAACAGAATGGATTGAAAAATTGTGGTACATTCACACAATGGAATACTATGCAGCACAAAGGAGCAAAGATTTTAAAAAATATTACATAACTTGAGAGAGACTGTCAAGCATTATGTTTAGTGAACTAACTCAGTCTCATAAGGACAAATACTGCATAAGAACATAATTGTTAAAATAGAAGTATAATTAGTAAAACGTATATGGGAACCCAAGAGGAGAAGGGGGAGAAGCTGTGGAGTGAGGAAGGGTAGGAGCGAAATCCTCAATGCTTTTTTACCTCAAAGACATGTAGGCAGAAGCCTAACATTTTAAAAGAAGGGAAAGAAAGGGGGCTGGAAAGGAAACATAAGAGAAAAATATCTGAGTCCTAGAAAAAGAGCACTAATGCTCAATAAAACTTACATCCCTATCTTGGAGATGAAGCAGTTGCTAAATATTTTAGAATCTTACATAACGCACACAGGGAATTATCTACTCTTAGCAAGAGCAAAAATGGTAAGACACAAATTCTTTGCTCAAGAAGATTATGGGGTAAGAGCAGAATCTCAAAGTTGATAAAAGTTCCCAAGAATGGCCTAAATTTAGGCCTGCTGGCTGATGATGTCAGGGCCTACATTTTGAAGGCGAAAACATAACCTCCCTATTTTATGTGGACTAACCAAATATTCCACTATTAGAGTTTCATGACTTACAGCCAGAAAGGATAAATAAGAAGTTGAGGAAGGCCTCACACACGTCTTGCAAACTATTAACATTTTAGTTATTTGGCTTTGCCACTTACTACTAGCTAAGCTTCTGGCTGTTTCCATGGAATGGAACACAGTGCAACCATTCAGGAATGAGATACCATTCAAGGCTGTCAATGGGAATGTGCAGTGTGACATGTGGGCCACTTGGGGGCGACATGGGGCTGCTGCGTAGGAGGTCAGTATTTTAGGCTTGGACAGGTGTCACACATCTCCAAGGGAAAGTTCTCCAGTAGTGTTTTTTTAAGGGCAAGACCTGGACATTTTTTCCTTTCAGTCATAAAAGACTGTGTTGTTTAGCCATGTTGTTTGCTCTCATGCCCACCTTTTACCCCACTCCCCTCTCCACAGTAAAGAACACTTAGCAAGATCATCTTTCATGAAGACATTGGGCAAATGTGTTGGCAACAAAATACTACTGGACGTAATAGGAGTCCCTGGGCCAAGTAAACAGTTAATGAACTCTACTGCTAACCAAAAGGTTGGTGATTGGAGTCCACCCAGAAACACCTAGAAATAAAGAACTGGTGATGTACTTTTGAAAAATCAGCCACTAAAAACCCCGTGGAGCAAGTTCTACTCTGCCACACACGGGGTCCTAGAACTGGAAATATTGTTATGTACCATTGAGTTAGAACAAATCCATAACAGACCTTCAGTGGGTTTTCATAGGCAGTAAAATACAGAAGGCGATGGCCCATCTTTCTCCCACAGAGCTGCTGGTGGATTTGAACTGTGCACCTTTGTGTTAGCAGCACAATTCCTTACTACTACCAAGCCAAATGTGGGTGACTTTAATCTGTGGCCCTCAGACCCGATTGTAATTGTTTTTGGACAAACGTTCTTCTAGGTCATATAGCACTGGTCTGTCCACTTGCTGTACAAAGGTAACTCTTGGTTGCTGTGATGCTAAACTGACACTGATGTGTCAAATGCAATAATGGTCACCCTTGGTGGAGAGTGTTTGGTGGAGTTCCCTGATTAAAACAAGCTTGCCTCTGGAAACCCTATGAGCCTGGAGAAAGGATGGAAGTTATACAATTGTTCAAGTCTTTCGTTCATAGGGTTGCTATGAGTCACTTATGACTTGATAGCACTTACCAACAACAAGCCACCAACAGAAAGTAATAAGATTGGAGTTAGTTTTGAGGTCATTGACAGGGGAAGGGCATAAAGGAATGAGGATTGATACTGGAAATAGTCACAAAGATCACCCTGTCTCTCTTTCTCATGTTTGTTTGTGTTTTGAGTTTTTAAAATTTTTTTATTTACCTTTCATTTTCTCCCTGCCTGTCTTGACACACCTGGCCCAATCCGGTCAGGTGTCCTTGGATAACCTGTGTGTAGTTTACACCCATGTTCTGTTATTCTTTCCCCAAGGTACATAGTCACTTTAACATTGCTTTTAAGTGCAAGCAAAAAAAGGCTTAGGCAGGAACTAAGAACATCTGTGCCAATAAAATGCAAATTTAGATTGTTGTGCCAAGACTCCTGCCATTTGGATGGGGAGGCCTGGAGCCCTGCTTCCCCATGGTCATTTTTCCAGAACTATCAGAAGCAGCAGAAGTTTTGCAAGTCAAGTGGAGCCAAATGTCTTTGCTCTTTTTTGTTGTTGTTGTTGCCAGCTGCCTCCGGAGTCTTTCTCCTGAAATCACAAGCACCGGCCATTTGGATGTGGTGGGTGCCCTCCTGTCCCCCACATAAAGATTTAAAGATGAAGAGGAGCCTGCGATCAAATGCTCTGCCTCTTCCAAGGCAGATATCGAGTGCATCTTCACAAATAAGTAAAACAAATACTGCTCAGTAGCTGGAGTTTCAGATGGGACAATCTTCAGTAAAGGAAGGCTTTTTACACCTTAGAAGACCATCCAGAAAGCACTGTTCTAGTGTAGAACCAAGCACACAGGACAGAGGAGAAAACAAAAGGCAGGTTTTAGGGATACCTTGTGTTCTCCAAGGGCTACTGTTATTTTCCTTTGACAAGTGTTAAACCACTAGCATCACTTTGAGACTACAGTGTCCCTTGATGGGGATGGTAAATGTTGAACAGATTTTAATTACATTTCAGGGAAATCATTAAAATGATCTACGTTTGCTCGTGAAAAAGAGGTTGAGATAAATTCTACGGTGCAAAAGAGAAATCTATATCACTTAATGAGTTATAGCTTTCCATTATCTTGCTCTTTTGGCATAAAGCAAGCAGTGGGGAGGCAGTGCCCCAAAGGACGTCAAACTCTAACACCAATACCTTGTACAAGCGAAGCCTGGTTAGAGGTTTCCCAAGGACTCATAGCTTTAAGAGTTGCCTGGGGCCCAGTCAGCATGATAATTCATACTTTTCATTCATTATTTTCAGTGCCCATCTTTCAAGCCTTCATGTTTGTACTCTAGGAAGCATTTGCAAGGGACTAGAACGTCTAATTTGCTGCTGTGAATCTGACCAAAGAAATATCCTGCTGCCTCTGGAGCAGTGACTCCACCTCCTGAATTTCCTGCTAAAATATAAAATACCCAGAGGTTCTGAGTGCCTGCAGTGGGTTTGGTTTTTTGGAGGAGGGGCTGAGACCAGGGTGGTACAATGATTCAAGTACTTATCTGCTAGCCAAAAGGCCGTGATTCCAATTCACCAGCTGCTCCATGGAGAAAGATGCTGCAGTCTGTGTTTGTAAAGATTACAGCCTTGGGAAATAGAAAAAAATTATTTTGTGTGCTTTTTAAAAAAAAAAAAAAATATTCCAGCCTTGGAAATCCCCTGGAGCAGTTTATGCAGTTGCTGAGCGTTGGAGATAGCTCTGATTGGGGAAGGCTCAAAGAACTAGAATTTTTAATAAGTACCCCCAGGTTCTTAGAGACATCATACCACTTTGTAGCATTTAGAAAATAAAGAGTCACAAAGTGCACATTTTAAAAAGTCTTTCTACTCTGCTGGAGAAGGAGGGGCAAATCTCCTCCTGTACCAGTCAGATCTGATTTGACGGTACACACACCCAAAAATAATGATAAAATGAAGTTTAAAAAGTCTTTCTATTCTTCTAACCAGAAGCGATTGCTGTTACCATTTTGATATGTCTCACACATTTCTTTTGGGTCAGAATTGACTCAGAGCTGACTGTCCATCAAGTTTCCAAGACTATAAATCACCTGGAAGAAGGCTGCCCCATTTTTCTCCTGGGAGAAAGGATTGGCAGGTGAATTTGAACCATCGGAGAAGCACAGCAACTTT